CGGAAACAATTCCGGAAGCACCTTCGGGGAAGGGTGAATTTAAACCCTCGCCGGAGCGCGTATTAACACTTCGGAGCAAAAGGTAAAAACGTTGCTTTCTTCCAAAGTCAAACACAACACTTCTCCACAAATGTGAACGGTCATATCGTAAGAAGACTTAATTGCAGCACTGCATTGCAGCATCTAGGTAAAACAAAGTCCCCATAGACATTGACCCAGATAAACATTGAAACGCACACTGGCCGATCAAAAATAACGTGTTCACATAAAAATGAGCACTCTTAATTGATTTTGTGTCCAAAATTTAACCTTGCTGTCAGTTAATGGTAAAAATTAGCATTTGTCTTAAGACTTCTCTGCAAATATTCAGAAATGACGGCATTGCTCAGTAACGTACTTAGGCTGAAAACAATCTGTATATTGTCTATGCGTAAGGGATATATGATCAACTGCGTTCAGTTTAGCAATGTTTCAGTCGATATTTTGTTCCAGGCCTGGGGACCAGCTCTTGTGAGTTATCAGCTCTTTCGGCTGTCCAGGGTCAACTCCACCTTCATAAATAGACCTCAGTTTGTTCTCACGGACGCACAGATGGTGTGCTGTAGCTGTTAAATAGTCCTCAGTTTACCCTCACAGACGCATCGCTGGTGCACTGTGGCTGCTAAATGGTCCTCAGTTTGTTTTCACAGACGCATCGCTGGTGTGCTGTGGCTGTTAAATGGTCCTCAGTTTGTTTTCACTGACGCATCGCTGGTGTGCTGTGGCTGGGGTGTATTTTTTCTCGTAGAAGTAAAGTTCATCTCTGATCTCAAGGTGTGATAATTTGTCATCCAGTTGCGAAAAAATCAGCCAAGAACAAGGGCATAGCCAAGAGGGACACGGAGGTCATACTCCCGGAAACTACCTCACAAACCTGGCTCTCATGTTAAAAGCAGGTTGGTTTTGACCTCGGTCTGAAATTAATACCTGATCCTAAGTCAATGGGATTTGTTGTAACTATAATCAGTTGTTGTAACTATAATTTGTTGTAGCTATAATAATTTTGGCGCGGTTCCTCGCATCGTTCGGAAATCATTCAGAAAAAACCTTGGGGGATCAAAATGACTCCCATCCGGGTTCGCGTTAAGAGATAAGCCATCCCTCGAATGATCCGCATTTGTACTTATTGTGTAAAGTGTCAAGCTCTTCAAGTAAGGGTAAATGTAGAGATACGACTGCTTGCAAAATTTGCATTCATCCAAAGGCGGGTGATTGAGGAAAATAACTTTGTTGCACCTCAGGGAGTGTTACCAAGCAGGTCGCGTCACTTTAAAGCAGTGAGCGGCCTCAATTATTCAGACGATTCAGTCGGGAATGGGTTTAGCACGTCGGTTGCTAAGACGGTGAATGTTGGGCATTTGAGAACGGTGGTTTTGAATACCGAAATAATCGGCACTTATGACGGCTGGCAATGAAAGTGTTTTGAATAACGAGATGCAAATGTTGTAACACCTAATTCAACTTTAAAAGGGAAAATAAAACGAACATCAGAAGAGTACTTGTGAGTGACCCATCGGAATATTTTGAGAGCCTTTGTCGACAGCATGAAGCTATCGCTGGAGCTATTTTCAATACATTTCATGAGCTTGGCTATTTGCTCTGTCGTAGTGAAAACGCAACTAAGTATGATCAACGTGTATGGCTTGTCATGTTCGCTAAGTGTGCGGTGAAAAGTTCGTCATACTAAGCTGCTGTGTATGAGTGGTTCCTGTGTCATTTTCCCTTTGTTTCGGCTGTCTGGCTGCAGAGCATACGGACGGATCTAAAAGAGGCTTGCATAAATAAGCATGCCAGCAAACCGGAGCACATAGGCCAACTGAGCACAGTCAACATCACCTAGGTTTTTCGGAAACAAAATATCCAGTGACAGCCATGAGAACAAAAAATTACCCTTTGTATGCAAGCAATCCAAAATACTTCAACCTTTTTGAGCTGAGACAAATCATGAGCAGAGCAAGGATAGTACTAGCTGAAAATTACGAACATTTAGATTTCAGGACACTTCTGCTTGAATATTATCGTGTTGAGGCCGCAATGGACGTACTGGCAGCGTGGAAGCTAAAAGCATTTTAGGGCACCCGTCGCCCTAAAAGTAGGGCAACCGCCACCCATGCTCTATGATTAGCGATAATAACGGGGTCCAACTATTGTCGCCGCCGGCTTATACCACATGTCTGCATCGTGGCTGCGCAGTGGACATGCTCGGCTGCAAAGGTAGGCAGCCTCGCAGAGCGGCCGTGTTGTGCGGGCTAGTATACCAGCGCAGGATCGGCACTTCCATTTCCGTGATTGCTGAGTAGAGCACTGCAACATTTTAAAAAAACGGAGTTTTCGACAAGTGAGATACCGTTATCGGTTTCTCCAGTCATTGGTGAGACTCACGCTCTCTCCTCAAATCAATTGACAGTCTTGGAGATTGTCGTTCCTGAATATAGCAAATCCCCGTGCGTTTGTCTTTGGAAGGCTACTCAGGTAGAACCGTTTTGCCACCCCACTTCTGTGTGTCTGGCGGCAAGGGTTTTGGCCTGGCATTGGGACGCTCCTATTCAGGCCACTCGTCTCCAGCGAATGATGTTCATTTCACACGGTGGCGCCTCGGATGGCTTCGGTCATAAAGTGAGGCAAAACACGCAGGTTGACGCGGGAATCTCTGAATCAGTATGCGGCCGGCGGCTTCTTCAGACGGTAGACGCGTCTTCGGGGACGAAAAACTTCGGAGACGTGTCGTCCATTCCCAAAGAAAGCCTCGGAGATGTCGTCTGCCTCCTTCGAGAGCTTGCAAGCTGTGTTACAGATGGCACCTGTGCCGTGGAAGACACGGGTCCAGAGCGTTCAGGCCGTCCTTGCATTCTCCCGCGGGAATAACTGGCGACCTGTACAGCTATGCATTGAAATTATCTCGAAATAAGTGCAAGCACTTTCATTAATTATTGATGTGAACATAATGCGATTTCGCGCATAAGAGAAAATCCATGAAATGGCGGCGGTACCGTGCCCTGCTGAAACCTTGTAATCTGTAATTTACGTGATTTGCGAAAAATGTCCTGCGAGACCCGGTCCTGGAACATCGTTGATGTGCCATGGACGGGCGAATGCAAGCTGCTCGCTGGTAATCTACTGCTGTGGATAGGGTAAGATCACAGCAGTGCGACCGGTGCTCTTCCATTCTATCATATAGCAACCCATGCGCGTTGCAAGTGGCGCGTTGTGTACTTACTAAAGGATAGCTAACTTTTGATTAAATGAATTTCCCTTTTGGAGACCCAGTTTTTATCTGCTACTGGATTCACTTCATTGTCAAACATTCTCGGTATGGCTAGGTTCGTTGCCATGGTTTTATTTAAAGCGAAGAATGGCATGTATAGCTGCATATTCGATCCGCGTATGTGTACACCTTATGTTTGTGTAGATCGGTGATGGTGATTTCATGCGCGTGGTGATGCTGTTGCTTGTTGGCAATAAAAGTCGTCACTGATTTATAGCATATTTGAATTCTGGCAGTACTTCACTTCCACCCGCCGACACTATGTCGCTGACTTGTTGAGCCCCAGGACTGGGTTGACACAGTATCACCCAGCGTTATCTGTTGGATTTCATTTCAGTTTGTCTGGAGCTGTTTCACACGGCTCAATGGCAAACCCATCTACGCCGGAACAAAAACGTCTCTTTCTCAGTGGGCTCGCGGGCTCCTCTAAATCTCGGAGGATACAGCCGGCTTTTGTCTGGAGACGGCTAAATGGGACCCCAGCTTCTATTACAACGGAAATCTGGCAGTGGATTTGATCCGGTTCCGGCTCCAACCTGAAAATCTTTAATGGTCTGATGGTTCACTATCACTAAATAGGGCGCGATAACAGGCATCGGAGAATGCAATATTTATGACTATCGTAGACGCGCGTGTGGGGAAGCAGGCGATCGACACAGAACGCGCTGCCTTTTAGCATGGGCTTATTTGCAGTTCTTAAGTTGTGTTGGCCTCGGTTTTCTAATATTTCTTTGTTATCACGCACCAGCTAATAGTGAATACATTTTCGAACGTGAGTATAACAGGCACTAATTCAATAGAACCATAAACTTGATGCGCTTGGTCGCTGAAAGCTGGCCAATCTGGAGAATTGCGTGGACAAAGCTCGACGCGGAAGCGAGCGGGTACGTCCAAAAACGGGGCAGCCCAGCTCGTTTGCAAGGGCCGTTTAGAGAGTGGTTTAGTCAGGTGCACCTGTCCCCGGAACACTACAGCGGGACGTCTGGCAGAAGAACAATAACACCGGCCTTTGTGACCTGCCTGACGGACGTGCCTGCTCGCCCGCTGGAGACGGTTTACGTTTCCGATAAACAGGGTCTGAAGTTCATGCCCGAGAAAGTTCGTGCTTCATTGTTGCACGGCACGTAACAGTTTACCGAACGAGCGACGCCACCCAGTTTTATGACCTATTTCCCTCCTGTTGTTTCATAAGCCACGCAGGCGTCTAATTTATGAAGCAAGTACGAACTGGGACGTCACAAAGAGTGAATATCAAGCTTAACCCAATATAGCGATGTCTCATTCGTATGGGAGATTGCGTGATGGGTCTTCACGTTTGTCCTCTGCATTCCAGCGGTACCCGCGCCGCCAGCTGACGGCACCTGCATCGGCGCGGAGTGAGCGCGTGCCTGTCTGGCCCAGACACCCGCTGTGGCGCTGAACAATGACGGTCACCTGGCGCCCCCTGCCGGCTCCTGATGGCGGCTCCTGTGTAGTGTTCGCTGGGGCGGCCGTTCATATGATGAGCCAGATGTCAGGGTCGACCTCGGCAGAGGCCGACCAAAGCGGGGGGAGAGGGGGGGGGGGGTGGAGGGAGGAACTGCTGTGCGCCGTACCTCTGGAACGGCGAGGGTTGCGGAGAGCCCGTTCAGATCCTATACTGGATCTCCTGTGCGATGAGAATCATGAAAGAGAGACAAACACCAATCACTGTTGGTTTACAGAACAGTGTCTCTGTGGCATTTATTAAGTTCCACACTTATTCTCCTTTTATGTCACGGGATGCTTTATTTTCAGCACGGATAGACATGGCACTTTCATACGAGGCCCAACGTGGCATTTGATGATCTACGATAAAAAATGTACCGCGTGAAAAGTCGGCTGCGATTTTTTTATGAACGGCGTAATTTTTCCAAAAGCAATATCGACATCCTTCATCGGTCAGTAAACGCAAGTAACCCCAAATCACATGAGCATAGTCTAAGAATGGATGTGAAAGTCTCCACTACCTAGATTGCAACTTCGTCATGCAGATCAGCGCAAAACACGTTCACAGTACAGAATTAAACACAACCGCAACAACGCTACCAAAGAAATGCCACCGCTCATTGCGCTTAACATTGCCCACACCTTTCAACATCTGCCAACGGACAGCAGCTGTGATGTAAAGCAGCGGGTGGTCGGGGGCTATCCTCCCCCCCCCCTCACCTCAACAGGCTTTGACTGTCTCTGGACTACATTCCAACCGACTTCGACAGTCTGGACTGCACTGCTGAATGCCGTGCCTGTCCAATCAGAGTAGCGCAGAGCCTTTCAAACGTCGCCTCCTTCACTGAATTCATCCCGTCGCCGGTCGGCTCGCCACCGCTAGGGTCTTAATTGCCACCGGTCACTCCACGGTGTTTTTTACAACCGAAGTTGAGCCTGTTACTGTTCCGAGCAAAATGTGACATCTTCAGCCATTGAGAAAAACGCTGCCTAAAGCAATTGCCTGCCTAAGTATTCCGCTATCAGCTCCACTACACGCTGCTTCTCAAACCTCAAGGGTAAGCAATGTTTACCAACAGAGAAGAAATAAAACCTATACGTCCCTAAACTCGGCAGTCGGCATCATCAATAATGCATAACAAAAGCCATTACCAGTAAAGAAAGAACCATACCAACTCTCAGACAATGCACAGTATGATACCCCTATTCGAGCCACTCACTCCTCCGGTCTATAGGCTCTACGCTGACTGATATCCTTCGTTGATGTCATGCTACCCTATTTTCACAAGCAACCACTTTTCTCAGTTTTGTGGCGCAGCGTCGACCTTACGGTTCTTGTGCGTCAGCTCTAGCCCAGCCATCGGACAGCAATATTATTCCTCGCACAGCGGTCCTATTCATTCGGCAGCGGCCCTTATTTTGGGACATTGACCACAGCCAATGGGCGGCGGCCCTATTCCCCGAATGGGGACCGTAGTACTTAGTAGAAGTACCGCCAGCGGCCCTAGTCCTCAGCCAACGGCCCCAGTCATTAGGCAGTGACCAAGGCCCACGAAGTACTCCGCAAAAAGCGGCCCCCATCCTCGGACACAGCGGCCCTAGTCCTTGGGCAGTGCACTGTCGCTCTTGCCTCGGGCGTACACGCGCAGTCCGCCGCGGCCGCCCAGCACCCGGTCCAGCAGCGATTGCTTGCTCTTGCGCCGGTGGTTGTTAACCTCGCGACACAGGTCGTTGAAGGCCTCGGCCACCTCCGTGACCTGCTCCGAGGCGGACACCTCCCGGAAGCTGAGGCACTCCATGTCGCGAGCCAGGATCTCCCCTGCGCACAGCAGACGGGGGTTACAGGCGGTGCCGGGCGGGGCACGTCACGGCCGTGGAAGCCCCTGGATAGCTGCAAACTGTTCTGTTTGCTGCGCTTTTCTGTTACGCAACTCCAATGCGCACATGCGTATTGTTAAACGTTGGGAGTATAGCTCCTGCTGCCTTGCCCCCTATCTGAACCTAATTGTCGCTACGCAACCAAAGTCCGTTCGAAGAGGTCGTACTCCTTCCCTGTACAAGTTACGGGTGGGTCAGTGGTAGCATCAATGGCAGAGCACAGAGCTGGATACCCCATGACGTGTGCCGAGCTCTTTCCACGTCGCAGGTACACTTAGGTTTTCACCAGCACAGCCGGACTTCGACGCGACATAGACAGCGTAGTGGTCATGTTGGGATCATTGTGACTTAGCACCTGGGCAATTGTTCGTTATCGAAAGGGAGCTAAGGGGATAGATATCAGTCGCCTGTTACCTTCCACGGGAACGAGTGGAGGAACGATACCTACGTTCGCGACCGTGCCAGATGTGTGGTTTCGAGGCATAAAGGTGCTTGTATGTTTGCATGTTTGGAAATCATATAATTTTAACACGCACCTGGGTGGCCGGCTGGACACCCTTCGCTCGAGTGGGGATAATTTGACCGCTCCCCTAAGATCTCAGGAACTAAGAAAGATGGAGACACTTTTAAAAAGCAAAATGTTGACCTGGGTCATTTCAGGTCAGTGACCTGTTCTGACCTAAACGAAGTCCATGAAAGATCTATAATGTGGTTCTTGTTATCAATAAATTCGAAATGAGCACCAGAAACCACCCTATGCAGCAAGCTCCAGAGTAATAAAACAGCTTGGTTTTGACCTTGGTCTGACCTTTATACCCAACCGTAGGTCAGTGTAATTTGTTTACTCAATTGTTGTGTTGCCTAAGAAAGCATCTCAGAGATATATGGCTTCGTCTAACACTCCGTTGTTGGATCAGATTGAAGGATTTTCTAGAAATTGTCGTCGTTGAAACCATGGCCTGACTTGGGCCTGCCATAAGTCAGCAACCTTACAAAGTGCATCAAAATTTGTAATGCCAGACGATTTGTTATTTAATTGCCTACAGCTATGTAAGATTTGGCGTGGCTACACCGCGCCGTTAGGAAACCTTTCTAAAAAAACCTTTGGGGTCGGGGGTAATTTGACCCCCACCCCATCTGAGCGCGTGTTAATAGAGTTTGGTTCGCTATAACTAGCTATGAGACACACATGAGCTAATGTAACTTAACATAGCAGCTCCCGTTAAATGCCTGCTTGCGGTTCCATCACAAGTTCCACTAACAAACGAAACACACCTAATATTTACACAAATGTTAGCCTACCGACGTTTGGAACATGCTCATACATATCTGAACATAAAGCTAGTAACTCCCATGGGAGACTGAGACTTGTATGGGAGGGACGCAATAGCTGAATGCGTCGCCGTTTCTGTGAAGGGCAGCAAATCTCGGTTTCACCAGGATCAAAGGCGATGATATACTGAGCAAACAGCGTTAATTTTAAGGTGCCTCCAAGATGGCACAGGAGAGTCGCTGCAAGCATAATTAATGAAGATGAACCTTACGTATGCAGCAGCCACAGATTCTAAAATGTCGAGAAGTTTGGTTCAGGATAAAAGAAACTACAAACCGGAAACAGTCGTGATATGGCTTTTCTTTTGGTGTGTAGTTGGTACGGATTTCTCAGCCAGGTCTTTGGGTAATCAAAGATTTTCGTGGAGTGCCCGAATGATCCTGCTCACTGATTCTTCGACGTAACAAGTCCGAACTGACCACCCACATCTAGTCACGCAACAGCTGTTTGTAGTCATGCGGCAGTGTGCAGGTCCGAGTCTTGCACCCATGATTCACTAAAACGGCGTAAGATGTGATTCAAACGCATGACCAAGACAAACAAGCGCCAGCTGGGGCATATATGCCTAACTAAAATGCTCCCAAAATTTCCCTACACAAATCCGTCGTTCACCACGTGCACGCCAACGAATAACAACCATGCCAACACATGGAAGCGTCGAACTTTGTCCGGCAAACTCACTACAAACACAACATACCACAAAGACAACTTATTACAAACACAATATACTTCAAACACAACACACTACAGACACAACACGCTACGCCTTACCCATTGCCGTGGGTATCGCTAAACCCTATCCTGCTGGCTGGGCGCGCGCCTGCGCCCCCCTCCCCTCCCCTCCCCCGCTGCCCGCTTAAGCGCGCGCCTGCCCCGTCCTGCTCGCTTGAGCGCATCGCTATGTTACACACACCTTCCTCGTTGCCGACCTGCCGCAGGTGGATCATGTCGCCCTTGTTGCCGACCAGCACCATGGGGGTAGCGGCGGCGGCCGGACCGCCCTCCCGCCGCCACTGCGCCATGTGTGAGCGCAGCCGCTTGATGTAGCTGAAGCTATCGCGGTCCGTAATGGAGTACACCAGCAGGAAGCCATCCGCCCAGTCCAGCGTCTTGGTCGACGGCATCTCGCCGGCAGTCTGCGGGGAGGGCGACGATGGCTAACGGGCCGTCATGGTGGGTTTAAAGGCAGCGGTGGTGCTGCAGCATTTCGGTGATGATTGGACTCGTCGCATGAGGCGCACTCGAACATAAAGAGTTATGGCTGGGTGCGGTAAAAAAACAAGCTTAATTAAATAAAGCCTGAGTTCGAGTTTTAATCTTAGATCAAAAATAGTAATGGAGGATTTTCGGAAGTTATTTGTCTGTTAACATGCCACATTTTTCCCATTTAGAATTGTTTTTCATACGGACAACCCGGAAAGCTTGACACTTAGCGACGGCTATCATGGTAAGCATGCCTGCATGCCCGCCGTCAAATGACTTACAGCTTGAGGAAGTAAGCACATGCGAGACAAAACCTCTGGGAGACAGCCTTCAGTGATATGAGATGATACAGTGCACCCCACCCTGTTCACTCATCGTGCGAATCACGCCTCAGCTGGCAGCCCCCGACCGTGCGTGTGCGCACAGTAACACATGGTGAGCGGTCGGTGACGCGCGGCCTTTTCCGTGCCTCCGAGGCCAGGAGCTCCTCACGCTGGGTCCATCACGTACATACGTAATGCGTGCTGCCACGTGTTCGGTCACCGACAGATCAAAGACCTGGATACGCGGTCGCCTGGCATCGCGAGCGCGACGAATGTGTCTTGTTCATGAGAAACTAAGAACGCATCGCTAAATATTAAGCTGTTCGAAACGTTTATCGTGAGGTATAAGACCAAGACGTGAACCCGACTAAAGACAGACAATGGACGTTAAACATGGTACGCCAAGAACGTTACGCGAGGGATTTAGGTCGCACGACCGCCATGGTAATTTCCTATATCAAAATGATATCGGAAAACATTCGTACACATGGTGATGTCTTTATCATCCACGAGTGATTCTTACAACCCCTTAGGGTTGAGAGGACAACTAACCGAGTGCTCTGGAAGTTGTCTAAAATCTTTCACAGATTTCAACATATTGCACTAAATGAAAGCCAGACCTTAATGTTTCAATTTTAATTATCAGGAACAAATACCGAGCAGGACAACTCCCTCCCAGGCCGGCTGTTGGTGTTGGTGCTGGAGAGGTGTTTTGTGGCGATTAACTTGGTAACCCGGTTGGCAGTAAATGGGAGACCCGGATAGCTATTCTCTTTGCGTGCTTGATTGGGCTTAGAAAATACAAACCGTTTTTTCCTTCGCATGAACGACGGCCCTGTACAAAGGCACCGTTTGGCTATGCCAAGAAATAGACTTACTCGCCCTTTATGGACAAAGGGCTCTGTCCGTTACTCACCCTTTATGAACACAGGACTCTGTTCGTTATGAGCAGAAGTTGTATTTCCTCAGGCACATATCAATGCGTGGCGCTGAAGGCCTCTTCACTCATAGTTGTCTATAAGTGATTACACGGTTAGAAAATGATTTGGGACTTATTTTGGGTAAAAAGTTTAACGAGAACTCCATGATATGTGAAACGTTCGGGTGAACTAGAGCATCCTACATTTTTCCAGCGGTACAGACAGAAACAAATGATCCCTCTCTGTCCACGGCCAAGACAAAAATGCCATCGGGAAATAGCCGACTATTTGTCCAGGGCGATGCACAGGCAAATGATGGGAAAGAATGACAAACGACAATGCCTCTTCCGGCGGGGAAGCGCATGCCACTTGTTATCTTATTTCAGAGCAACTATGAACGTCCATTAAGATATGACTGAACTCAATGGCGAGCGCGAACACAGCGCAGACAGAAGACCTCATTTACACGCAAATGCGCTAAACGCGACGAAATGACGGTTATTGCCGGGTTGCTGCAGCTAGCTTAGAACACACTTTCTAATGAAAAGGCCCCAGACGTGTGTAATTGGAAGATGTCTGTTCTCAGAATAACATTGTTAAGAAATGCGTCCCAGGGCGGGCTTGTGTCAACCTTAACTAGCTATAAATGTCGTGGCTTCCGCGCCAGGCTCTGCAAAGCTGGTCACGCTTTCGACGGCCTTATATTCGGCATTCACTAAGCTCATCACCGTGCAGTCTTCAACAAGGGATTTACAAGTTTGCTGAAATTTGTTTATGGCATTTGAATGTGGAGCTGATTGACCCGGGATTTTCGGTATCTGCCAGCACCAGTATAGTTATCTCTCTCCTCTTTCGATCAACACGGACAACATGAAACTTAGAAACGACAAAGCATTCCAGCGCTCAAACCGCGTCCACATATCGGCAACCCTCAGGGCACCACGACACCAGATCGGAGTCACCAGACGACGGAAACAACAGACGGTCGTGGCAGGAAAAAGGTGGGTCGGTCTATGATCCGTGTGTGGTTACGAGCGCTCGAGACTGAATCAAATATCCGCTGGTCATAGGGGTAGTTTAAAGAACCATTAAGTGCTTAAGTTTAAGACCAGATACAGCGCTATGGAGTTTCTGGTCACTTGACATTTCACACAGAGTCTATCAACACGCTAATGATCGGGGCAAAGTGCCCTGGCTCTTCACTCCAGTTGTAATAATCGCCCAATGAAGCACTTACTCCAGATTCGGGATTTGAACCGGGGTTCCTCGACACCAGATCGTGCTCATAGCCACAGATGTCCTAGAGCCGCCGTCTACGGCCCAGCGACGTGTCCGTACCTTGGGGCAGGTGTCGAGCAGCTCGAAGAGCACCGGCTCGCCGTCCACCATCAGCTCGTACTTGTAGGGCGGCTGGTCGCCGTGGTGGTCGTACTCGCCGATGTACCGTTTCGTCAGAAAGCGCACCGTCAGGGCTGCAGCAAACGCATCGCTTGGTCATAAGATTTGGCAACTGCGTGATTAAGTTAAGCGGACCTGCCACGGCCATTGGTGCTCGGGTGAGGTTTCTCACACCGCCATGAGCTGCGGCCTGCGGGAGAAGATGGCGCCGGTGAAGCACCACGTCAGAAGACAGCGCTTACGAGAATAAAATCAATGTGACAAATCACTGAAAAGCCTACCAAGCACGATGGAAAATTGCGATGCGACATGCCCTAAGGCTTCCATTATCCCACGCAGGGGGCCACCAGGCTTTTGTTAAACTTCTTCCGTCTCTCTTCGCAGGGGGCCACCAGGCCTTTGTTAAACAGCTTCCGTTATTCCACGCAGGAGACGACCGGACCTTTGTTAAACATCTCCCGTGACTTCACGCAGGGGGCCACCAGGCTTTGTTAAACATCTCCTGTTACCCCACTCAGGGGGCGACCGGGCCTTTGTTAAACATCTCCCTTTACTCCACGCAGGGGACCACCAGGCCTTTGTTAAACATCTCCCGTTACTCCACGCAGGGGACCACCGGGCCTTTGTTAAACATCTCCGTTACCCACGCAGGGGGCCACCAGGCCTTTGTTAAACATCGCCTGTTACGCCACGCAGGGGACCACCAGCTCTTTGTTAAACGTAACGTTACCCTAAGCAGGGGGCCACCAGGCCTTTGTTAAACATCTCCCGTTAATCCACGCAGGGGGCCACCAACCCTTTGTTAAACATCTCCAGGGACACCCTGTGCATATCTGAAGGCAGTTAACGGCATTCGAAACGTGATCTGAAGTGATGCATGACGATGCCACTGCAGCTCTAGAATGATGTCACATTGAAACCCATGGCCGAGTGCACAACCCCGCCAGCAAGCAGCACTTCTGCACTGCCATGCCAGCAAGCACTTCTGGCCGTGCCGCCTCCAAGACTGCACCATAGCTCCGACAAGCTTTCCGGTGACGCGATTCTTTCGTCAGCTAGATTTATAACTTCATGAACTTTCGAAGGCCTCGTGCTGCCATAACTGGCACTCGGAGAAGCATGTAAATTATTTGAAAGTTGCATTTCAAATTTCACGCCATTGGACTTAACAGTCCGCACAATCATTCCACCCGCTCACGTGCCCTGTCTTGCCCGCAGATCGACCCCACGCTCCCGTGACCCGCCCGCCTCGCTGTCCCGTCGCTGACGCCGCCAGCGGCCAGCGGGCGCGGCGCCGCCTGAATTAGCCCACGCGGGATGACCGCAATCCGGCGTGATTTGCCAGCGGAGCGGTCGGCTTGTTTGGACGGCTCGGACGAACGCGACCCACCCGCGTCGACCGGAGCGTCGCCGGCTGTAATTAGCGACGCGACCGCAGTTGATCCGCGCCGCTCGCGGACCGCGCCCCCGCCGCTAATTGGGACTGACCCGGACAGGCGGGCGGCGCGGCAGGACCGGTCGCAGACGGCGACGGCCGCGCTAAATCCCGGCACGGCCGCGGTCGGATGGCTTCAGGAGCGGTTGCGAGTAGCCCGCGATCCACCGGCGTAAAGGGATGAGATTGTCGGCGGCGACGGTTCGGACACTGAGCAGTGTGCGTTTGTGTGTGGGTGTCATGTGGCGTGTCGTGGACTTCGCCAGGTATGCGCTGATCGAGAGCCGCTCGGGAGTCCCGAGACCAAGGCAAATGAATTACACAAGGCTGGAACTTGAAACGTACAGATGGGCCAAGCAGGACAAAATGCATTCAATATGCACTAAGTTTTAGCAAGATGATTGTCGCGATGTGCTGGACACGTCAAAAGATGATCGAACAGAAAAGGTCAAGAACAATTCACGGAGGGGAACGTGCCAATGTAAGGCCGCATTTCAAACGCAGGACAGCCTTACGGATTTCACTTGTAGTCAAGGTATAAAATGAAATCGACAACTTGCTACCATACTGTGAGATCTACAACACCCTCATCCTTCGTCACAAGTCGGTTGAATTTGTTTTGTTTAGCGTTGGATTTCTTCCGATATAAAACAGTTTTGAAGTCCCACAAGGATGACGTTGCATCCCGCAAGCCCGTTTCCCGGAGAGGATTGGAAAAATAAATATCATTAGACAAGAATTATGGGCCATCCTTACAAAGACGCTGTGTTTGGTATGTGCAGCTACGCCGTAATCGAGTCACGGCTGTGTGCCTGGCGATCGAAGCCTAAGTCTGACGTTGTTGTACGCAGTGAGTGACCTGATGCACAGTATGATTTGCTGGGATCTGTTTTTTCCTGACAACAGTATTGTTAGCTCCCGGCTGTTTGATAGCAGGCCGCGTAACAGTAAGAGCGTATCCTGTTCAGCCTGTTTTCATGGCGGAACGCTTACCAAGACGAAGCCCCCCCTTAAGGAGCCCCAAAAGGCTCACTTACAAATTAACTTGAAAAATTATCTCCGTATGGCCATGCCGTACCGTCATCAGTTCATCCAATAAGTTTTTCTTAAATCACCGGCCGAGAGAGGTATCTTGTGATGCGAGGATCTCATATCTTTCGAGCACTAATCATAATATTGATTTTGGAATCATTGATGGGAGTTTTTGAGATGTTTATACTCGGAGTAAGTAATAAAACACTTGATTACAGAGCCTCGCCAATAGCTCGATGTATTTGGCAGGCATCATGGTTTCTCATTCCTAACTTTCAACAGCTTAATATATTTGATATATCAGCCAAAACCTAACAGATCTGGAGACAAACCTAATGTGTCAGTACCAACCATCGACCGGAAGTTGTTTCAACGATAATGAAAACAACCATCTCCAGCCCTTGACTTGCGGACATGCACCAGTAAAGCTAGGCAGTGCTGCACACACTTATTCGTCACAAAATACACTGCCACGTAGGCTGAGTCAGCTTTGCCAGTGTGGATTTTATTTATCTTTCCAACAAAATGCAAGGCTCAGTGGGGACTCTGCTCAAAGTCGTTCGTTATCTTCTAACAAGGGTAGAAAGTGGTAAACAAGTCACTTACATGCATTTGCTGCACCGTTTTTATGAGAAGTGAAACAAACCAAGTCGCTTAATTGCATAACATGTAAGCTTGAGGCAGCTGCCAGCTAGCATTCAGCAAAGCCTTCGCGCTTGTACTTTGTCGTTGCACCATGCACTCCGTCTTTCTAAAGTACTGTTAACTTTATCGAAAGCAACTTTACTGATATATCTTGGGCCCCTTGGTGCTTAAGATGCCGATATCGTTTCTGATGCCCCATGATGATCTGGAAACTTCAAATCACGTTGGATCCTCTGATGCGTCTAAGCCACTGATGGTGATGGGGCGGATGATGCATGGTGATGGGAGCGGATGATGCATGGTGATGGGAGCGGATGATGCATGGTGATGGGTGCGGATGATGCATGGTGATGGGTGCGGATGATGCTTAGTGATGGGTGCAGATGATGCATTTGGGTCTCACTGATGCTTTTGGGTGCACACATTTTGGGAGGATTTCGAAAAGCTCTTGAAGCCATGATCAATTATGCGACGCAGTGCAATATTGCTCGTCCTAGCGGCAGTCCCGGAGAGTTCTGCGTTAACAGTGTCGGTCGTTGATGAGCACCAAGTTCTTTCTCGCCTACCGACCACCTCTCCCCGCCCATTCCCCGCCATCCGCCGCGTCTCTCCCAGATTATCCGTGTCATTCGGCGCCTACCTGAAGCGACAGCTTGGTGCCCTCCCTGCCAAGGTCACCACCCCCACCGCCGGTGACATGACACATTGCCCCTCCCCCCGCGCGTCACACCCCTGCCACCGGCCGTCACATTGTTGGCAGGCGCAGGAGGACGACCTAAGGCTAACAGGTCCGACGCCGCTTAAATTTAGCGCCAAACGGCCGGAGCCGATTGACGGGCTGTCTGTGGTGGGTTGGCGACGGTTGGCTGTCAGGCGGCCGAGCCCAGGGGTGGCCGGGGACCCGCTGAGATCCGCACGCACGCACTCGCCGATGAATCACCAACTTGTGGACCTCGTGCTTCTTCAGTTGTGGTTAGGAAATTTAGCGGTGATACTACATTGCAATTTAGCCACGGGGGCATTGAGAACTGTCGTTTTAAATGGCAGAGTTTATCTACCCTCTAGAGACACAACGCCAAACATGCTTGGACTGAAACCGTGAGGACTCCTCCGACAATTTCCCTAATCCTAACCACGTTCGTAACCATAACCATGCTTGCAGGCATGGTTCTCCTATCGGTCCGACACTTCACACCCTACCATAAACCCCGTGGGGCCTGAAATCGTTAAATTCTCCAAGATTCCCTCTTTAGGCCAGGGTGGCAGGTAAGCGATGCCAAATAGTCTCAGCTGCTGAATGCGTCGGAAGCTCCAACGACTATCAGGGCCTGAAATGTGACGAATTTCCGTT